TCTAGGCCCGAAACGTCAGCCTTCCTGCTCCTCTGATGCTGCTTGGCTTGCTGCGTTCATCCAACTCTACACCTTGTTTTCTCAGATTCTCCAGCATCTGCAGTTCCTACTATCTCTCCACCTATTTGTACTATCGGGTAGCCAGCTATCTCACTTTGTCAATCAACCACAAAAACTTAAAACTACACTGCCTCAGGTTGAACCAGGAGAACCTGTGAAGCCAATGGCTCGTTCAGTCAACAAAAGGCTAGCCTGTACATCCAACATTCAGAACATGCTCAGTTCCTTCTAAAAAATTACTATCACAGCTGTGATGGTAGAACCAAACCCAGCCAGTTGCACATTCTCCCCGTGTCTGCTTGGATTTCCTCTCAGTGCTCCCATTTCTTCCCATAGTCCAAAAATGTGCAGGATAGGTAGACTGGCCATGCTAAATTGCCCCATAGTGTCCAGGGATGTGCAGGCTAAGCTAGTTAGCCATGGCAAATGCAGGGTTACGGGGGTAGGGTAGTGCAGTGGGTCTGTGTGGGATGCTCTTTGGAGGGTCAGTGTGGACTCAATGGGCCGAATGGCCTGCTTAAACACTATAGGGATGCTATGATTCTAATATATAGTAACACTGCTGCCAATCTGTAATCAATCTCTAGGATCATCCAGAACCCAGGTCACAGAACAAAGTTTATTTCTGACTATGATGTGCTATGAATATAATGTGCAGAACATTATTCACTCTATAGCACAGATATAATAGATATATTATATCTATAACACAGATATAATCCCAATGTTTTTTTAGTCAAGGAACAATGTAGAGCCGTCACACAACAGTTGGGAAACCACATAAAGTAATAACCGTAGCGCAAGCATCTATGCAAAAAGTTTTATTTATGCCGACTATTTTTTGTCCATTATTTATGTTGACATTGAAGGATTCATTTTCCTCCGACTCATTTCAGGTACTACGTGCTAGTGGAGCCTTTTACATTATATTCTTTATAGTGGTCGTCATGTTTGGTGCTCACTACATTGTAAATCTGGTGCTAGCAGTCGTGGCAGCTTCCTATGAAAAGGAAGCCAAAAGGAAACAAGAACTGAAGGAAGAAGAGGAACGGATTTTGGGATTAAGGCGACGGAAAGCACTGGTGGTATGTCTCAGAAGAGATGAAAACTAAATAAAACAAAATTTATATGGAGCTCTACATGTAGTAAAACATTCCAAGGCACTTCACAAGCATATTGGTTTGGATTCACCTCCCCAGAATTCTAATGGAGTGACGGGAGGTGGGCTTAGGACTAAGGCCTTGGTCTGACATGACTATTAGTTCAAGTCTTTCCTCCTTAAGGCTGCAACACCCATTGCTATTGTATTTACTGCTACCACCTCCCCTGGCGGCACATTCCAGGTACCTACACACATCTTTAAACTTTCTCCTTCTCACCTTAAACATATCTCCCCTAGCATTTGACATTTCTGCCCTGGGAAAAAGAGTTTAGACTATCCAACCTATCCATGCCTCTTGTAATTATATAAACTTCTGTCAGGTATGTCAGGAATTGTTGTGCGGAAACAGGTGACCTGAAGAAGGGTCATGCAACCCAAAACGTTAACTCGTAATTCTCTGCACAGACGCTGCCAGACCTGCTGAGCTTTTCTGGCAGCTTCTGTTTTTGTATCTGATTTACAGCATCTGCAGTTCTTTCGATTTTTACTACACATTCATCGTCATTTGCCTTCAGTGAATAGGAATAGTCATTTATAAATTTTTTTGTTGATGCATTAGCTGGCCAGCATTTACTTCCCGTCCCTAGCTGCCATTGAGAATCTGGTGGTGAGCTGCCTTCTTGAACCGCTGCTGAAGTTTCACTCACAATGTCGTTAGGGAGGGAATTCCAGGATTTTGACATGGTGACTATGAAGGAATGACAATATATTTCCAAGTCAGGATGGTAAGTGGCTTGGAGAATAGCTTGCAGGTGAGAGGGGAAAAGTTTAAGGGAGATATGCGTGGAAAGTTCTTTACGCAGAGGGTGGTGAGTGCCTGGAACGCATTGCCAGCGGAGGTGGTAGAGATGGGCACGATAGCGTCATTTAAGATTTGTCTAGACAGATACATGAATGGGCAGGGAGCAGAGGGATACAGATCCTTGGAAAATAGGTGAGAGGTTTAAATAGAGGATCTGGATCGGCACAGGCTTGGAGGGCCGAAGGGCCTGTTCCTGTCCTGTAATTTTCTTTGTTCTTTGTTGTTCTTTGTTCTAAGTGGTGGCATTCCCAAGTATCTATCTGCCATCCTTCTAGCTGCGAGTGGTTGCGGGTTTGGTAGGAGCTGTCTAAGGGTCTTTGGAGAACTTCTGCACTGTGTCTTGTAGTTAGTACACACTGTTGCTGCTGAATGGAGGGAGTGGGTATTTATAGATGTAGTGCTAATCAAGCAGGCTGATTTGTCCTGAATGGTGTCAAGCTTCTTGAATGTTGTTGGAGCTGCATTCATCCAGGCAACTGGGGAATATTCCATCACACTCATGACTTATGCCTTCTAGATGGTGTACAGGTTTTGGGGAGTCAGGAGCTAGGAATTCTGCAGTGTGTAGCTCATCTTCTGTTTCCCCACAGTCTATCCACTATCTGCATGGTACAAATCATGGAATACTCTCCACTTGCCTGAATGAGTGCAGCTCCAAAAACACTCAAGAATCATCAGGACAAAGCTGCCCACTTGATTGGCACTTCATCCACAAATATTCATTCACTCCTTCATTGACATTCTGTCGCAGCAGTGTGTATCATTTACAAGATGAACTGCAGAAATTCACCAAAGGCCCTTAGACAGCATCTTCCAAACCCGTAACACTACTATTGAGAAGGACAAGGATAGTAGATACATGGGAACAACATTACCTATAAATTCCCCTACAAGTCACTCACTATTCCTGACTACAGCATCAAATGGATTGTAATGGTTCAAGAAGGCAGTTCACCACCACCTTCTCAAGGAGATCTAGGATGGGTAATAAATGCTGGTCATCCCGTGATGCCCATGTCCCATGACTGAATAAAAAAAGTTTGCTGTTTACCCAGAATATTCTCTGCCTTTGTATTAACCCTCATCATCAATCAAAATGCTGTCTGAATCTTTGTTGAGCCATTTTTGCTTTCTCCTTTCAATAATTGTGTGACTAAGGTTTTATTGTCTGTCCCTATCTTGAAGTAAAGGTCAAAGATATCATCATCAAACCTTTCACGCATATATGTTATAATTAATGTTTATTCCTCCATCACTGCATTCAGCCTCCATCAGTGATCATTTGCAGAATGGTAGAAGGTAACTCAGGATCATAAAGATCTGTTTTCAGCTTTCCTAGCCTTCAGCTGTGAAAATTCAGATCTGTTTTTGGGCTGAACTTCACAGCTTCCCAGTTCCTTTACTCGGCAAATAAATATAAATCAGGACAAGCTACTCTGATTAAGAATGAACAACTCTGGTTCTGGAACACATATGAAGTTTCTGTGATTTTTCTCCCTCTATATTGAAGGATTGCATTCAGTTGTCCTATGGCCTTGAACTCTTTACCATCCAACCCATTGCAGTTTTATGTGTAGTGCTCAAGAGAGCTATTCTCAAATTATTCTCAAACTATTCCCATGATTCAGAATGATCTGCAACTGTTGCACCTGTTCCTAACTTAAACTGTATCTTGCTTTCCTCAACTAGCATATGAACATTCCTTGCTTCCTCTTGGACCCGGGATCTTTAGAACAAAAGGCATCTCAATGTCATTGTTATCTCCTATTTTCCATTTTGCCATCTTTTGAGGGCATCTCTTTTCACCATTTCTGTGATAACTACACGCAGCAATACGCAGCTTGGAAGTGACCTTTCTTCTTGGTGGTACATTTGTTGTACTGGTGTTTTTTTTCCCCGACACAGTGATAACAATTAGTGGAGGTGGTTGCTGGGCACCCTTCCTGCCTCCACAGCTTTTGTGTAGCCACCTCTCCACTTTTCAACTGAACATGCTCCACGTGATCAATTTTGGAATGGTGCTTCCTGTCACCCCAACTCACCGTGCAACATTGCTTCCTGACCTCAGCTTGTCTGTTCAATTGAATTGCTTTTGTTAATGCTAAGTTATCTCTTGACTGTAAGTGGTCAGGCAAGGTTTCATGTAAGACACCAGAACATTTCTGTCCCTGATTACTCTTTTGTTAAGCTTTTATACTTACAGTTCTCTGCAGGTCTGTACACATCATTGATGGCAGCATTGATATCTTTCCCCTGTCATTTCAGTATGCTTTGTAAATTTAAGCTACTCAACGCTGATATTTCCTCACAGACTGAAGTGGCCATCAAGTGCTTTTTTTGGTAGATTTCACTTTGTTCATGCTGTAATTGACTAGGATATCACCTACACAGCCATTCATGACATAAAGTGGTATCCTGACCTGGCAGCTGCTTTGTTTCACACTGAGGTCACTGTGGGACGTCCAAAATTCGTGTGTGGCAGCAACTTCCAGAACTGGAAGTCAACAGATCCGCACACCAAGTGGCATGCACAGACGCTCCAAGTGACTGCACAGCCATGTGGCTATATTGTTTAGACGGAAACATTGCCTCTGGCCTGCTTGAATCTCTTCAATTATAACAGAGACTTTTCCACATTATTCTTTCATTGGATACCACCATATAATAGCATGGACTCATTGTGGAGCTGAAGAATATTCAGTCTCCTGAGGTAAGGAAAATATTAACTTTAAAAAATTAAGAATTAGAAGTTTAGAATATTTATCCACCGCTGCCAGAAGAAGTGGTGGAGGCTAGTACAATTGCAACATTTAAAAGGCATCTGGATGGGTATATGAATAGGAAGAGTTTAGAGGCCTATGGGCCAAATGCTGGCAAATGGGACTAGATTAATTTAGGATATGTGGTCAGCATGGGCAAGTTGGACCGAAGGGTCTGTTTCTGTACTGTACAGCTGTATGACTCTAATATTACTTGTCTTCATCTTGTCACAAGGCTTCAAGAGCGAGCAAGATCATGTGACATGGCATCACTTCAGATGATGTGAAAAAATGTATTTCTTTAGTATTTTACATTTGCGAGCTTAACCCCTTCCACAACAGTTGTCAGCAGCATTCCTGGTGACTGCACAAAAATGTGGCAGTGGTAGACTCAATTGGTTCATTTTTTCCCAATATAGCGGCAATATGTACAGTGTCCTTGCTGGTCACTGGGCAGTTCAATATTGATTCAAATTCAATTGTTTAAGGAAAATAATGAATTTAAAATATGATCTTCTTAAAGGAGGGAACAGAAACGGAAAAGTTTATCAAAGCCATTCTTCTCAGCAATTAATTCATATTTTCAATGACTACAAATTGTGTCCACAAGGTGGCAGCAGATGAGCAGTCATTTTTACAATTACTGAAAGATCTGCGGATGCTGTAAATCAGGTACAAAAGTTGCTGGAAAAGCTCAGCAGGTCTGGCAGCATCTGTGAAGGAAAGTCGGAGTTACCATTTTGGATCCAGTGACCCTTTCTCAGAACATTTTACACTTTGTTCACTTAATGATACTACTTGTATTTATAAAACATCTTAAACGTTGTAAAACATGCCGAGGAATATTGATCATCAAATAAAATGTTGGCATCAAAACTATATTGTAAGAAAATACTGAGTAAGAGTGGCATGGATTAATGAGTGCCTGAGAGGAATAAAGCCTGGTAGGGAAATTTAATGAGGGAATTCCAGAGATAGAATCTTAGCAGCTGGATGGTGGAGCAAAGATGAGAAATGGTGAAAAAGGCCAGCAATAGAGAAGCACAGAGACCTGGGATTTTTTTTCTGGCTGTAAGAATTTACAGGGGTAGGGATTGGGAGAGGGGAGGCAACAGAAGGATTGGATTCCAGCAAAGAAAGAGGCCATTCAACCCATTGTGTCTCAGCTGGCCTTCTAAAGGTTCAATTCACCTCGTCCCACTCCCCTACCTTTTCCCTATAATTTG